GCTTCTGTCAACCGAATATGGTCTTCTGCGAGGGTCCAGAGGTGTTTTCTTATGGTATCTACTAGCCCAGCAGTTGAATAGAGAAAGAAAGAAGGAAGGTAAAAGGAAGGAATAGGGAGGCTTCGCAGATTACAAGTATCCTGAGACGCTGTCTTGCCTCGATCATAATTCCTCTTATACCTATTTGAGGGGTATTTTCTGTCCTAATCATATCTAAAGTCGGGCGCTGTTTGGCGACGGGGGGGGCATTTTGCACATTAACGACTTCCCGTCGTGTCAATCCATCTGGGCGGCTTCTCCTCTAGTTGACAGGTTTTACCATGATGACTTGACGAGCTTGCTCCAGCTGCGCAATGAAATCTCAGGTTTTATCAGAGTGAGAGTTGTAAACTAGAACTAGATGAAGGCAAAGAAAGCTGCCCCAAAATGCCCTTCCCTCCCTCGCCTCCCCTCCCTCCCTCCCTCCCTCCCCCCGTTGGCGAACTGCTCCCTAACGTCGTCCTCGAATTCCTTCCCACCAGCATTTCTAGGGGTGCCTTTCCCATTGCTGCATGGGGTGTGACCCTGCATTCAAAGAGCAGGTTTAACACCGCATACTCCAGTCTATTGTCGAGCCGCAACTCTTACGTGGTGTTTTTGAACGTTCGTGAAACGTTCAGCATTTCCGTTCAAAGTAGGATGCTACGGCGGTGCAAATATCTGCTGATTTCCTCCTTCGCTGCTGTATTTACGAAATTCCGCTGAAGCGGGGTGGGGTGGGGGAGCGTTGTCCGAAATCAAGTGTTCCGGCAACCCATTTCTTCAGAAAACTCCTTCAGCTTCATTATTGTCTCTCTGGTGTGGTGGTGCCCATCCCGGCTACCTCCAGCCGCTTTGACTTGGCATTCACCAGGATCTGTCCTTTACTCCCCTGTTGTCTCGCGAAAATCGATGTGGAGCCCTTGCCAGACTTTCTCCAGCTCTTCCCATGGGCGTGAGGATACTTTCACCGGATCTCAACCTATCAATGCACATGTGCCGCATTTCCTTGACATTTCTTCCAGTGGCTATGTTTGCCTGGGAAACCTATATCTCGGCTGATGGCAAGGCTGCCCTCTTGACCGCTTACGGTTTCTTTCAAGATAGGATAGTTCGAAAAAGTTCCTTCCTGTGCTCATGGTTGATACACCCACCTCGGAGTTCTTACCCCTTAGATTAGACAGGAACTCTTATCAGCCGGCGTGTTTTGACAAGATTTTGAATGCCATAGGTGCTCTCCTTTAAAATGCCTCCCACCTTATCGAACAGGATCCTAAAGTAGTTGCCAACTGCCAAAGCTGCCTCTTTCTTTCATCTTTTTCTCTTTATGGCTCAGCTTAACGACGCAAAAACATCTCTATAATCTTGCAGCGACAAAATCTACTGATCGATAATTCTGTTGATGGAGGATTGACTGCCTTGGATGCTTAGAATAGCGCCCTTTTTCCCTGCAGTAGACTGTTTTCGATACAAGTCTCTTGCGCGTAATTTTTGAACAACTTTGGCCTCCCTGAGGTAATGTTATGGGTGAATTTCTATTTTTGGCGATGAGAAACTACACCAAGCATTGCATGACGACGGCTTGTCATTTGAAAAGTCAGCCAGTGCCATATCAGAAAAACACCTGATTCAGTTTCCTTTGCGTCTGTTTTCACCGTCTCCGGGTTTTTTATTGAATGGTCCTCCAAATAAAGTCCCATATATTCGTAGTACATCAAAACACCTTTGATGTGATGCGAACAACACGCGATTATCTAAAGTGTAGAACATCTTCCTTTCACAAGGTCAAGGTGCAGTCGCAGAGGTTGTTCCACGTTCTCATTTCGATATTAGGCGGCGATGCCGCCAGATTTGCTACGAGGGTCAGGTCCCGCGCACGGAAGTCGCCTCCCCCCCTTGCTTTTTTTGTTCGCTGCGGTTATGTATGAGGGATGTTCAATGTATTCTCGGTATAGGTATGAAAGGGCAGAAAATTCTGGATAAAATCTATTTTTCAATGTAGTCCCCCATAAGCTCAATACACTTGTTCTCGGGAAACTAACTTTTCAATACCCTCTAGAAATATTTTTCCTCCTTGTCCCCAAAATGTGCGTTAATTGCCGCCTTCAGCTCTTCATCGTCAGAAAACGCTTTCCACAAAGATCTTTTTTTAGGTTGAGGAACAAGAAGCGCTCACTAATCATTATTCTCCAGCTTCTCTCTTCTTGCAACCTCGGCATCTTAGTTGTAAGTCTTTCAGTTGTTGTGTGCCTAACGAGGTTGATATCTGGCAAAGAATTCT